CAAAAACTTGAAACGCAGCGAAACATCAGTAAGGTCCGTTAACAATCATCGAGAAAAAGATCGGAAAGGGCGAAGACTACTTACCATCTGTCGCAATAACCATAGCTTCTAGCAGTTTGCCTCCACTTTTGACCGTAACCATGTCTCTTGTATTTGGTGCAGTCTCCGAAAACAGCTTCCCTGTCTCTTTCGATCGAAGTTTTTTCGTTTCAATAACGCATGCACTTTTGTCAACAGCAAAATACACAAGACACAGTTGTGGAACTTTGGTAAGGTTGCGTAAAGCCATTACGAACCTCTAGTAACAATCAAGCACAAGGCTGTAATCACAGTGATACCCTTTTGCTCGTCTCAGGCTTTTATGCCTGAGCAATAAATGATTTATATTCAGTCTTTTGTCTTCTTTTAGCCACCCCTAACAATAAGTGCGATAACTACGAGGTGCTACTTTGATAAACAATACCTTTTGAAGAAGGCAAAACTAACAAGTCTTTTGGCGGTGGAAGCAAAGCTGCCGTGGCAATGTCCACGCGAGTACCGCTTTATAAACTTAATAAGTGTTGACAAAAACACCCATTTAAGATCGTTCATGTGTGGACGGCAAGCTGAAAACGCTAAGTTTGCAACCGTTTTATAAACTCGCATCGCAAGATTTTTTCTTTATTTTTATTATTTTTAGAGCTCAAAAGGAGTTATTTTATTTTCATGTATTATTCTTTAATTACAATTGGTTAAAACTTCTTGAAAAACAGCCAAAAGTGAAGGCAGGGATCTAAAAGTGTTAACTTTTGTATCATTTCCGAATCATTGAATGCTTTTTGCGGTCAACGCATCCTTGANCGCAGCGAAACATCAGTAAGGTCCGTTAACAATCATCGAGAAAAAGATCGGAAAGGGCGAAGACTACTTACCATCTGTCGCAATAACCATAGCTTCTAGCAGTTTGCCTCCACTTTTGACGGTAACCATGTCTCTTGTATTTGGTGCAGTCTCCAAAAACAGCTTCCCTGTCTCTTTTGATCGAAGTTTTTTCGTTTCAATAACGCATGTACTTTTGTCAACAGCAAAATACACAAGACACAGTTTTGGAACTTTGGTAAGGTTGTGTAAAGCCATTACGAACCTCTAGTAACAATCAAGCACAAGGCTGTAATCACAGTGATACTCTTTTGCTCATCTCAGGCTTTTATGCCTGAGCAATAAATGATTTATATTCAGTCTTTTGTCTTCTTTTAGCCACCCCTAACAATAAGTGCGATAACTACGAGGTGCTACTTTGATAAACCATATCTTTTGAAGAAGGCAAAATTAACAAGTCTTTTGCCGGCGGAAGCAAAGCTGCCGTGGCAATGTCCACGCAAGTACCGCTTTATAAACTTAATAAGTGTTGACAAAAACACGTGTTTGAGATCGTTCACGTGTGGACGGCAAGCCGAAAACGCTAAGTTTGCAACCGTTTTATAAACTCGCATTGCAAGATTTTTTTTCTTTATTTTTATTATTTTTAGAGCTCAAAAGGAATTACTTTATTTTCATGTATTATTCTTTAATTACAATTGGTTAAAACTTCTTGAAAAACAGCCAAAAGTGAAGGC